AAAAACTGCGGGGCCCAACCCAAAAACAACATGACACGGCAGAGACTTGGTAGCGAGTCATCACTGGACACTGGTTACGGGTAACGGGTTATGGGAAGACTACTACGAACCGGCGATGCAAAACGTATGTCGCCCGACATAAAACGAAACAAACAAGATGGCAGTATACGGCCTTTGGGCTGATTCATACAATGTCAAAGTCCAAAAATTGAACATTAAAACAACAAAGTAGAACAGGGAATGGAACTTACGTAACTGAAACTTAATGCAATACAAGGTAAAAATAGCACAACCATCAAGAAACTCAACGAATGAAACTCACGTTGAAATTCCAATAAAAAGTGATAAAAAAAAATTTTTTGATCGTCGATCTTATTCGTGTCTAGGGGATTCTGGGAAGGAAAATAAAAAGAAAGAATTTTTAACAGAAAGAAGATTCGTTGCCTAAAACTTAGACTGTTAACCCAGAATTGGAAAACGTGAAACAAAAAAAAAAAATTTTTGAATACTGATAATTTTATACTGTAATTATTCATCTAACGGGGATTTAATTAAAAAAACCCCAAACCCCTTCTGGGGTAAGATTGACAATCGAATGGGGTTAACTCTGGGAACAAACTCGTTGGCATTGGCTAACTTTGCTTTTTAGGCAAATCAATTGAAGTTACAAAGAATTTGGGATTCTCAATCCTTCTGTACGTAAGGAATAACGACTTCGGTTGATCGCGCTTAAGGGAAAAAGGGGGACGGATCGGGGAGGATTGTCAGAGCGGGGTAATAGTGGGTTGGAAAATTATATTTACTAATTTCTATGTTAAAGGGGCATTTTTTAAGGGGGGGCCCCCGAAGAATTTTTATTAGTGTGGGTTTTAGGGCCCAGTTGAGAATTTTTTTTAAAAAATATTTGAAGTAATTTCCTTTTCGACCCCCAAACAAAATACAAACCAACTACAAAAAAACACTTACAAAATTGGTCCATTTGGAGGTACGTAAGCGGGGGCCCACTGTAACTGACCATTAATTTCTCAACCTATACTTATTCCTATATTTTTCAACTACTCGATAAGGCCCAAACAAACTTTTGTCAATTTTGGCATTGCAGACGTTTTGTTAAATTAGCAGCATAACCCCAAACCTACTTTGTTTTGGGATGGTTTTGTCGAGTTTTGCGACCTTGTAAATTTCGCTGTTGATTTATAAGTTTTCAGGGATTCTTCTAAAAACACTTTGAGCTAAGCGGGTAAGTTGCTATAAAATCATCAGGGTTGAATTTGGTTTCGGATTAGAATAAAAACTCAAAAGGGAAAACGTTTATCTACACCAAAACAATCATAATGTGAGTGTCACCATAAAACATTGTAAGCAAATTTTATAGCACACTCCCAAAAACGGGTATAACTTCTCCCAAGTTTCACTGTTGGGTTTGATAGGGGCTCTAAAGACACAAGACTTTCTTATTGGTTCGTTCCCTAACCCATTGCGGGCGGGATAAAGGGGAAAAAAAAGGTGGTTTAAGATCTTGTACAAGGGCAAAAATTTCAAGAATCTCATTACGGTGGTATGCCTGCAGATAATGCTTTTTTTAAACGCTTTAGCTACTGCCCGGGCATCTTATCTGCAATAGAACTAACTCCAATATCTGGTGAAATGGTCTACCATAACACACAGATGTTTTGTTCCCTTTGGGAGGGAACTTGGAAATTAGTTAACAAATCTCGCAACTTTTTCCCAGGGCCTATAGTTGGATACATTTGGATTGGATTAGGGCCATTGCTTACCTTTTTTTGCATGCAGCACACATTTCTTAACTCCAGTATATCATTGCCAAACGGGCCAAAAGTATTTCAATCGGGCTTGTTTTACTGAACGACCATACCGGGGTGTGCAACACCGGGAAAAATCGTGAACTACTGTAAGGCTCATTCACTATGAGTGGAATTACTAACGGTATCCTTTTTCTGCTAAGTCCCCAAACCCGGGCTGTTCGATACGTAATTTTTGGTTAAAGCAAAGTCATATGGGTGGTGGCTTCACAGTCAGAATAAGATTTTCCTGGAGCGGGAATCGAATCACACCAACACAGGGGATCTGTTCGTTGCATTTTTTTACATCCTAGCACAAAAGGGAGGGTCTGCATTACTATACAACATGTCGCGATAAGGCATCGGCGACTACTTTTTACTTGCCATAAGGTTAAAAGGGTGGGTTTGAACTCTTGGATAGTCAAGGCCCCTCTGGCAAACCCTTCCAGTGGGTTGTTGTTCTGGAAAAAAGGGTATCAGGGGACAGGGTCGTCAAGACATGGACAAGTACTGAAAAAAAATGTCTGGGAAAGGGGCTTTAAAGACCAACTATTGCAAAGCTTCTTGCTCTTTACTGATAATTACGTTCAGCTTCGAAGGACCGGCACAAATGCAACGCGTTGTACTTGCCAGGGCCCTTCAGCTAGAAAAGGCACCTATCCCAAAATGAACTAGCATCATTTCAATAAAGGGGCTTA